CAGTATTATACTAGAAATATACTGTAGTATTATACTCTATTGTTATCTGGATTATACTAGCTACTATCTGAAATTTTTTTTCACTTCGTATAATCTGGGATTATATCCAGTATAATCTTGTTCTTTCCGTATACATGTGGAAATTTTTTTTCATTATAATTTAATTGTTATAATCTAAAAAAAATTGTTAAATTTAGTATCTTAACCTCTAAATAAAATAATAAAGTTAGCCGCCATTTTTGATTTTTTTATTTTGCTTAATTTGTTAAATTATAACTAAAAAATATTTTTTAAAAATTGCACTTATAAATTTTGAAGTTTTTAAGAAATAAAAAATTTTTTTTTGTAATAATTCTTTAATAAAAAAAATTGTAAAGATTTTTAGATGTCGGTTAAACTTTCATCTAAATAAAAATACTTCTAATAAATTAAAAAATGTCAGCTAACTTACCTAAAAACTAAAAAAGCTAACCTCAACATGGAAAAATTTCATGTTCAGGTTTAATACCTAAGTCATCAAACTATTCTACTCTCCACCAATCACGGAGTAGTCCAACCATAATTCCGCTAATCGATCCAAAGTCATGCCAATTGTTGTCATTGAGTCCATCACTGAGCTCGCTGGACCTAAACATCCGGAACCCGGGTCTGATTTCGCAAATCATAGATCTACCGGTGGTAGATCCCAGAAACGAAGTGATCAATCCGCGGAAGATCATTGACCAGGTCGAGAAAGGCTCGCCTGGATCTGCTCCAGTAGAGCTTCCGACGAATCAAATTATTGAGAAGGAAGCCGCAAGATTGATTGTAATCCGCCGGCACAAGATGAAGAAGCACAAGAAGCGCAAGCTTAAGAAGAAGATGAAGTTCCTCTGGAGGAAGTATAAGCAGCGAAGAGTGCTAAAAAAGGAAAAGAGGTTCCACCGGGAAATGCTGGCACAGATTCGGAGGGCTGAGAGGTTTAATCCGGCAACTTACATCCGCTCCAGATTGAGCATCCTAGACAACGTCAGGATTCCCAATGTCTGGAAGGGCGAAGTCATGCCGGAATCAATGGTTAAGAAGTTCATGGAGGAAGAGCGGGAGAAGAAGCTTAGGCGACTTAATCGTCCTAGGCTCACTCTTGATTAAATTTTTATAAGTTATAAAATTATATATTGTAACAATATTAATTAAAGTAAATAAAGTAAATAAAATGGTTGTTAAGAATAATTCTGGAGTTTTATTATAAATACTTTACAATAAATTAATTTTAAGTCTTAGTTTTAATATTTACAAATGGCTTGGTTAGATTTTGTAAGGTTATACGCTAAAAATTTAGAAATATTTTACGCCATTTTGAAAAAGGCGTTAAATATGTAAAATGGCTGTAATTTTTTTATAAATTAACAAGGATTAATTTATTAAGCTATCAAAAATGGTGATCTTAGGTATAACCCTTAAAAATAAAATAAATTTAATACATAATTGGCACATTATTAAAAAAGTATAAAGCAGCTTTTGGCACGCTTAGAATACTTCCAGAGCCTTGATATCGTTTTTGGTTATTGATAATCCATCACAATAATTACTAACTAAAAATTTATCATTAGTATACCAAAATAATTTGTCTTTTTACGGATAAAAACCAATCTAAAAAAGAGTAAATCTATAAAAACGCCCAATTACTTCGGCAGAACATTTCCTTTTTGAATCTGCAGACTTTTCTTCCTACTGCAAAGTCTTCCGGTCTTAAGACTCGAGCTTCTGCCTGAAAAATAGTCCTCAATCTCTTGCAGCGATTTGTTTTTCGTCTCCGGTAGGCAAATGTAAAAGTAAATGGTCCCAAATAAAGAAATAAACCCGTAAAGCAAGAAAGTTCCATGCTCTGTAATGGCCGCTCTCAAAAACGGGAATGTTTTGACCACCATGAAGACAAAGCAATGAGCAGACATGGTGGTGAGTCCCCCGATGATGCCTCTAACTTGGACGGGATATACTTCGCCAATCATGACCCAAGGGATTACCAAGAATCCAATTGTGCAAGCGATTGTGTACGCAAAGATGCAGACTACTGGCACCCAAGTGAAGGTAGCGGGTATGTTGTTGGCCTTCCAGAAGGCGTTGACCCACATGTAGGTGCCAAGACCTAGCATAGAAAGACCGCAGCCTATCGAAGACACCATGGTCAGTGGCCTTCTTCCGCATCTTCTGCACAAAACACAAGCCAGGATGGTCGAAAGTAACCTTACAACGCCTAGAATTGTTGTAGCAAGGTACTTGTTCATTGTGGCGCCAGATTTCTGGAAGATGTCCACCGCGTAGAAGGTCACCGCGTTGGTTCCCGACCACTGGTAAATCAGGAAGTAGAAAAAGAGTAGCGCAAAAGGCTTGAGAGCGTTTGGCTGCATGATGGCGTGCAAGATGTCCTTTGGATTGGTCAGTCTCTTGAGGTTGTTCTTGTTGGAGAAGTTGATGAGCGTGTCCATCTCCTTGGTCAGGTTGTAAGAGCTGCCCCGAAAGTGTTCTAAAGCACGACGCGCCTTTTCGGGCTTGTTCCTGGAGATTAGGTACGAAGGCGTCTCCGGGAACATGAACATTAGGATCAAAGCTGATGCGGGAATCAGGCTGCTGACCATTGCGCAGATCTTCCAGGTGGTCACTCCACCCATCGCGTATTCTAACAAGACTCCGGTGCTGACTCCCACGCTGGAGATAGCTGTTAGCATTCCTCTTAAGTGGGGTTGGGTCACTTCGCTGGTGTAGACTCGAGCTGGTGCTCCAACCATCCCGGATCCTAGACCGGTGAAGAAGCGCCCGGCGTAGATCATGTCGATGTTGGTTGCGAAGCTTATTAGCAACCAGCCGAGTAACGCTGGGATTTCGGTGATGATTAAAGAACGCTTGCGGCCTAGTTGGTCCATCAGGTAGCCCGATAGGAAGCAGCCTATTGGCGTTCCTATTGATGACATGCTTGCTGGAAGATAGAAGGTTTATTAGTTGGATCTTGAGAATTCTTGTATTTATTGGATAGTACAGTTAAAGCAATTTGTTTTAGCAATGAAATATGAGCAAGACTAGGTCAGAAGAGCAAAGGTTACCTCTTTAACCAATTTTGCATTGCAAAAATAGTTATTTAATGATTAGTATCAATTAGATTGCAAATCCTGAGTTTCTAAACCTATAAATGCAATTAGGTGTCAATCTGAGGTGCAGATTAAATCTTATAAAATGATTTAGTTAAAATCGATTCTAAATATTGAATTCTAATTGAAAAATCATAAGATAGCAGCTTTTTAGCTTGTAGATCAATTATTGGAACAAGATAAGGGTTAGAGTATTCTTTCTTACCAATCCAAGACTCCTGAACGTCATCAATAGGCATGGTGCTGTTGACCGCTCTTAGCTGCGGAATTGCAATGGCGGAGAATCCAAAGGCCATACCGGTATTGACGGTTCCTAGTTGAGCGACAAACGCCGCTAGGATTTGTCTGGTGGCGCTCCCGTGGGATAAATGCGGATTGGCTGGTTCCTGTTCCAGGTGGCCATTTTGCGGCAGTGGCTTGTCCATTACAAAGGAGCCTTGGATCTTTGGAGGCTTTGTGTCCACCATCAAGGCTTCCTTTTCTTTAGAGTCTGCTTTGCTGTAAAAGACATTACTTTTTGATTTGATATTAAAGTTTGAAGTTTGATTCAAACTTGTTCAACTCAAGCAATTTTGTAAGCACAATAATTTCCAAACAAAATCATTTATTAAGATCAGGGTTTCTTTGTTAGGTCCAGAATTTAATAAACTAGTGCCGTATTTAGTATTACTAGTTTAGTTTGTTTTTTTTTTTTTAATGAATTTTTTAGAATTTATCATAATACACATTTTAAAAAAACTTGCAATTTTTCTCATGTTAAAACTATGGTGCCATTTAATTGAGCTAGATTTTTTTGAAATGCGCGCGCATTTGACAAAAATAATTTTAATTAAATAATTTTTCTAATTTTTTGTCCCTAGTATTCAAAAGATACTTTAATTTTCTCTTAAAAAAATTTTTTTTTTTAAATTAATCTAATTTATTTTTTGCTTAAAAAATAAAAGTTTTAAATTTTTGCAAACTTTTTTCCGTCTACAAAATTTTAAAACTAAAATTAAATATCAATTAAAAAGAAAAATAAATAGAATAATTGTCCGGTCAAGGAAATATGATAATTTGATCTGCGATTAAACCCAATAAAACGTCGATTAGACGTTTTTAAGAGTAGCGTATCCCAACAAATAATAATCTTGTTTGTAGAGTTTATTGTTGTACGCCCGAGTCACTATCAATTACATCACACGCTGTAAATTTTATCAACACACACCTTTATATTTATTATTTGATATCATTGACAACTCTAATTAAATGAAATAAAAAATAATATCACAAAAAAATATTTATTTAAAATTTATAATAATTTTTTATTTAAATTAATAATCATCGACTTTATTTTATTGCACGAATAATAAACAATATAAGAGGATTAAATTTCAAGGATAAGCGATCAAACGTTTGAAATGTTGCCCAAAGTTAGCTAATAATAGGCGACCTCATCTATTTATGCTCAATAAAAGTTAGTAATATTATAATTGCAAGTGAATCCATATATTTACATTTTTATTTTTGCTGATTAGATAAAATATTTGTTCAATGTGTAATTTTTGAGTTGAATAAACTGTAATACTGTTAATTACATTAATTTATTATTTTATAAAGAATGTTGTCATCTCTGTTAATGCTTAGACACGGATATTGTTGTAACTTCAAACAAAGAAGTGAAGTAAGGTTCGAGATGATAATCTAGAAAACGGTTATTATGTACTTTAATAAAAGACTAGAGTTTAAATAAAGTAGGAAGGTTGGGATACGTATATCGTCTATTTTATTTTACTAATTTCTTTTTATTACATCCCTGGGATGATTCATGAGACAAGAAGCTAGCTTGTCTATGATATTTTTATTGCGGAAATTTTTCACTTTTTCATTAAATTGTTTGTTTATTAATTTTTTTGGATTTTTAGGTCAATTTTTTTCAGCTAAAAATTAAGTTTTTATTAATTTAGAAAAATTATATTTTTTGAGAGATTAATTTGGATTTATTTATGAATTTTAAGTGTTAAAAATTGAATTTTAATCAATTTCAAGGGACAAGAAAATTTAATTATAATAAATTTAAAAATTTCGAATCTTAAAAATTAATCTAATGCCAAAAGGGCGTGTAATTTTTTTTTTTTTTTTTTTGGTGCCAATGGTTTTGTAAACATGTTCTAAGCCTAAAAATGAAAAAAAAAAAATTTCCAAAGCCAAAAGGGCGTATAATTTTTAATTAAAAATTTTCTAAAAGCGGAAAGTTATTGGTTTTACCCCGTTTTTTTCTTTTAAATAGAGTTTTCATCAGATCTATAGCTATATTCAGCTATAAGCTCAAAAAATTTTTTAATGATTAGTTAATAATTTCTTATTTATAATAAGATGTTTTTCATTCTATATATACACGGAAAAAAGTAAACTGTAATAAATAACAGTCGATTTATAATAAGTAATTTTCAAACGATAAAATCGTGATTTTATTATTCACTTTATAATATTCATTTTATTTTTATGAAGCGCTGATTAGATTTTGAATCTTACGTAGACCTAATTATTACAACTTAGATGATATAAAGTGAAAATAATATTTACCCTAACTAAGAATCGAACGCGAGCCGCGCGCTTGCCAGACCGATACCTAACGCCCTACGCCGTACGACCGATAGGTGGTTTTACATCTTATTATTCTTATAAGCTAATCCTATGTGGTGATTGAGCATTAGGGCTTATTTATAATTTACATTAATTGTGTTATTTTATGCTGTTTATTGATGGAAAATAACTAACTTTTACATTATTTATAATTCATTGAATATTACAAAAATTAAAGTCTAACATATACTCATTAAAATATATTGATTTCGAAATGATTGTTTGAGCGTAATATTAAAATTTATAAAAGATAAATGATGCCTCGAATTTATTATTACTAATAAACAACCATAGAGTGAAAATTAGTAAAAATAAATATGAAGGACATTGTTGTTTTTTGATACTTCAGTCTCATTTTTGTAAAATTGAAAAGTATTATTTTTAAAATTAGAAAACAGTGAAGTAAAATTATAATTCGTGTAATATAAATAAAATTTTCTGGTAATATTACATTGCACTGTGTAATTTTACAATGGAAATTGTAAAAATAAAAAAAAGCTTTTCAAATTTTTTATAAGATTATTGTAATATAAATGACAATATTTTTTTTATGATTTTACATACAATTATGCCGAATCAGATTACAAATAATGTTTGCAAAATTAAAAAGCTTTTTCTTGAAAATTGACCAACAGTTCTGTAATATTACAATGCGTGTTAGTTTTATACAAGAAGATTGTAAAATTACAATACATCTTAGTAAATTTCCTGACAAGTGTTGGAAAATTACATGAATTGTATTTTATTTCGCATTGCTATACACTGATTTGTAATTTTACATATCATTTGTTTTGTAATATGATTGTAATTTTACAAAAATTTTTAACAGTGTAAAGTTAAAAATCAAACTGTAATTATTGACTTGCTTGGACTGCTAAAATGTATATTTTAAAAGTATAATTTTTACTGTTTGATTGAAATGTTAAATTCTCCCAGAGTGAGACCCCCTTCTCTTTCATCTGAGTTCCCCTTCTCCTCATAATATCGACTATATATTGAAATGACAATTTCAATATATAAGATAAAAGTAATTTTTTAAGATGAAAGAGTCGTTATTTACTATAGTGACAACTATCACTTATTGTTGGATATTAAATTATAAATTGTGGCTTTTATATACTTTCTACATTAAGTTCTGTATAATATTTATATTTTTGCCACGCCGATGTCTACTTTACTGTTTGAAACTATAACAAATTAACTGGAATACGAGTAAATAATTAATACAGTTTACTTTTTTCCGTGTACATATAATGGATTTTATCTACAATTTTATGCAACGAATAAAAAGGGAATTTATAAAAAATATAAATTGTCTAACTCCATTTTAGAGAATCTTCCATTTGTAAGAAAAAAACAATTGGTTCAAAATTAATTATCACTTTAAAAAATCATTAATATCCAATAAAGGTATAATATTTTGGTTTGAATCATTTAAATAATTTATAATTGGACTATTACTTCATCAAAATGTTAAAAAATCACCCTTAAAAAAAAAATAAGGAGTTAGACAGTGTCCAAAATAATGAAAATTTTATTAATTTATACTACTATTAAAAATGTTGACTTTTTCATAATTTTTTTCTTCACAAATTTTTTCCGGATAATTTTTAAGACTGTTGTTAGAAATTATTAAAAATCCTGATTTTTTTTAATACGCTTTTTTAGCTTTAGATTACACAAAAAAATTGAATTTTTATTTCAATTAAATTTAACAAAAAAATTCTATTTCAATTTCTTTAGATAAAAATCGAATAAATAAAAATTTCCAAGAAGCACATTAATAAAACTAAACCAAAAGACAAAACTTCTCGTCCGAAAAAAACTAAAAAATGTCATCAGAATAAGAAACTACACAAAAAATTGCCAACTTATTTTTCGCTTTATATTAGTTTAATGCTCCCTCTCTCGCAAGGTCAATCCGGCAGCATTTACCCAACACGTGCTATGCGCACAGTGCAATAATTACACGAGTGACATAATTTAAAAGTAGAAAACAAAAATTAAATTCACGGATTTTAATGACACTGCTCTAAAAAAAAGTCACCCGTCGCTTAGTATTTATATATTGTTCGAGCAATAAAAAAATATAAAAATAAAATGATGGAAACATTAATAGTTGTGTGCTCATGTGTGTTTATCATTTGATAAAGAATTAGCGGAATTTTTCATACATCTGGTGAATAAATTTAAGCGAAGGACATAGAATAACAAATTGCAAATAGCAAATAACATTAAATATTCATAATCGATTCAATCGTAAGGCATTATTGATTTAAATAATACAATTTATCAACAGTTTGTAAACTTACGTGTCCATTGTGCCGTTAATTCAAACAAATAAGTATAAATAGTCACACAATTTTATTTTTTTCTCCTCCGATTCATTTGTAATTTATTTTATTTTTAGTTAAACTTTTTACAATTTATCATTTTTATTTTATTTATTTATTTTAACTATTTATTAAGAGTTTATTGGTGATGTTTTAATTCACTGAGGAGCGTTAGAGCCGTACAAGTTACTTTTATTCAGAAACAAGTGTATTTTGCCTCTAGCGCGAACTACAAAGAAATAAAAAAATATATATAAAAGCATGATAAAGACGTTTCAGCCGCTAAAGCTAGTGGAGGGGATTCCCAGCTTGTTTTATTTTATGTTTTTAGTCGCAATCGCCCGGTTTAAACTTTCACCTTCAGAGGGCGTCATTTTTATATTTGTTTTTGTGGAAATTTTTAATGTTTTTTGTAAAATAGTTTTATATTTTTTAAGAATTTTTGTTTTTTATTATTTTTGTTAATTAGAAGCTTGATTAAAAAATAAAAGTAGTTTTTTCTCAATTGGAATTTAAAAAAGGTCTGAATAGAATTTTTAGTGGAAAAATTATGAAATTTTGCAATGTAATTGAAAAAAATTCATTTGAGGGGTTAAAATGTATTTAAGAAATAATTTGAAGAGTTTTTTTTTTTTAATAAAAAATGTTTTAGTTTAAAATATTTATATTTTTATAGAATATGCTTGAAAAAGTTTGAGAAAAATTTACAAAAAATAGTTTTCAGTCGTATTTTTTTGTATTATAATTATCGACAATAATTAGAATTTATTGAATTTTAAAGGATAAGTAGACTTTAAAGCCGCTTTTTTGTTGCCAAAAATGAAACTTTAAATAGATAATTATATTTTTAAGGTATAATAGGCTTGAAATTAGGAATTTCTTCAAATTTTTTTGATAAATAAAATTTAAAGACTTGTTTTTTAGATATAAAAGTAGAATTTTGATTGAAAATTGAATTGTGGCACTATAACAAGGTTAAATTTAATAATTTACTTAAATTTTTGTAAGAAATGAGCTTGAAAGGTTTTTCTTGTGGCTAAAAATGGATTTTTGGTTGAAAATTATATTTTAAAGCTTGAAAAAAGCCGCAAATTGATAATTTTTTCTATTTTTATGAATAAATACGCTTTAAAGCTTTTTTTTTTCTGTATTTAAAATTAAATTATTATTAAAAATTTAATTTTTAAGCTTTAAAAAGGTGAAATTTGATCATTTCTTCAAATTTTATCAATAAAAATATCTTAAAGCTTCTTTTTTTACAAAAAATTTATATTTTTATCAAAAATTACATTTTGACGCTTCAAAAACCCGAAAATTAATCTTTTCTTCAAATTTTCTGAACAAATAATATTTAAAAGCTCATTTTTTATAAATTTAAGTTGAACTTTAATTCAAAATCAAATTTTTACGTTTAAAAAAAGCCAAAAATTGATCATATCTTCAATTTTTTTGAATAAATAGATTTTTAAGCTTGTTTTTTGTATTTAAAACTGAATAATGATTAAAAATTTAATTTTTGCACTTTAAAAGGGTCAAATTTAATTATTTATTCAAATTTTATCAATAAACAGATTTTTAAATTTCTTTTTTTCACAAAAAATTCATACTTTGATCAAAAATTACATTTTGGCGCTTTAAAAAGCCGCAAATTAATCATTTCTTGGTTGTTTTTTTTTTTTAATAAAAAAAGAATTTTAATATAATTTTTTCACTAAAAATTCTACTTTTTATTTTATTTTATTTAAATAAACAAACCCAACAGCCTAGGGGCCATTAACAGAGTTAATAATACAACAGTTAGTATATAAAAACAAGAAAAATTTTTGATTTATAACAAGATGACTAGTGACAAGAAGCTAGCATAGTGATTTCATATTTAATACAATAATAATATTAGTATTACTATTGATTAAAAAATTAATTAAAAAAAAAAAAAAAATTACATTAATTATAAATATTCTATATTATCAATATTAATTATAAATATTAATATTAATTATAAATTTAATAGATAGATTGTTAAATGAGTAAACCATTGATGTGTTAGCAATTGCAAACCATAACAAAAAATAATATTAATTGCTAAAATTAAAAAGAAAAAATAATAATAATAACAATTATAAAATTTGTAGCTCATAATAAGTGCACATAATTAACACCATTGAGTTAATATTTGGCCAAGTGATGCTGTTATACAGCCACTAAATTAGTTTGACAGCACCAGGTGTAAATAATTATCTGATTATTAGTAACAAGATTGTTTAGTTCAAATTAAAGCAAATTATAACAGTCATTTAAGAGCGCAAATCTTGTACTATGTAATATACGGGCCTGGTGCCCGATAAATCTACTAGTATTGACATCACCAGTTTTAAAGACCTTACAGCTAATATCACTCAAACTCTCAGAAACAGATCTAAAAAATCACTAAAAAAAAACAAAAAAAAATAATAATTTCACTACACTGAATAGTTCGCTAGCAGAATGTTCTCATAGATAGTTAATGATTTTTGTCAAAACTTGACTTTTTAATCAAAAATTAAATTTTATTGCTCTAACACTTGAAATATATAATAATAAATTTTTCGAAATTTTCTAATAATTAATTAAATCTAAAATTAATCAATTTTTTTCAAAAAAAAAAAATTAATCTAAAAAATTGTAAAGCTTGATAAAATTGAACTTATAAATATATAATCCTCTAACATAAATTTATTATTATTGATATAATCACATAATCCATAAAAATGAATCTAAATTATATACTAAACAATTTGTTTATCAGCACATCAAAAGCAAGACTTAGACTTAGATAATACATTAGAATATTAAAATGTTAATGCACGAGCAGAGGATAATCACGCATGTTGATCGTGAAGGCAACGTGATAGTTTGTTTTTAATATATATTATATATTTATAGTTTATAACATTACAACCAACTAAACGTTTCACGGTTTATTTACTGAAAATTAGCATGACTTTCGTAATTAATCGGTCACTTGACTCAATTCACTTAATTCAATTAACAGCTCATTAAATAATTTTTATCAAAACTCACCCTGATGGGCCGCTTCCCTCGAATGACTCGAATGTATCATAATTTTGAACCATTTTTTAACTTTCAAAAATTATTGATTTATTTTTATTAATAAAAAAGTAAATATCATCAACATGCTCACAAGCTAAACTTAAATCAAACTGTGAATGCTTAATATAATTATCGTCGTTTTATATTACACAATTATCGTTTAATAGATTATTCTTATAATTCTAATCGCTAGTCATTATTATAATTATTATTATATTAAAATATCAAATTAATAATAATAATAATAATAATAATAATAATAATAATAATAATAATTGCAAAGGTTTTGACTTAAATTTGTGTCTTTTCAAGGTTTCATATATTTCTGACCAATAGTCAATTTATGATAATAAGTATTTAGGCTGTATTAATAAATAATCTATCTCTAGACACATAATTGAAAAATGACCTTGTATCTCGTGAACTATTGACATTTTTAAAGATATAAGCTCATCCTGATGTTACACTCATCAAGACCTTTCATTTGAGTACCCACATCAATTTTTCATATATTTATATATATATTATATATATGTATATATGAAAAATATATCAAAAATGCATGTGGGTACTCAAATGACATCTCTTGATGAGTATAACATCGAGATGAGCTTATATCTTTAAAAATGTCAATATTTAAGAAAGTACAGAGCAATTTAACAAATATCTTGTCAAATATTGACATTTTTAAAGATATAAGCTTATCCTGATGTTACACTCATCAAGACCTTTCATTTGAATACCCACATCAATTTTTCATATATTTTATATATTTATATATATTATATATATATGTATGTATGAAAAATATATGAAAAATGCATGTGGATACTCAAATGAAAGCTCTTGATGAGTGTAACATCATGATGAGCTTATATCTTTAAAAATGTCAATATTTAAAAAAGTACAGTGCAATTTAACAAAAGTCATTATTTAAAGCAAAATTTTATTTATTCATAGTTCACAATTTACTGCAGTCACGTAGTAACTGCAAGGTTGCTAGTTATTATTATTATTATTATTAAAAAATATCAAATTTTAATAATTACAATCATTATTTCAACGAATTTAGAGTATTATTATTATTATAATTATTTTTAAAAAATATAAATAATAATCAAAAATTTTACATCAAATTTATTTATAAAATTTGATGTTTTGAATTTTTAAAATTTATTATTATTATAAAAACATTTAAAATAAAATCCTGGAAAATTTTCCCGTCAATAATAAAGGTAATAAAATTACCTTCAATATAAATTCAAATCCAGTATATAAAAATAAATCAAAAAATATATATTTATATATGAGCATAGCTTGTTATCATTATTGTATTAATTTTACTCATTGCTTATATTTATGAACTGGTCGGCTATAAATATAAACCGTGTAAATTAAATATCAATATAAATATTATCCTTTTTTTTTTTTTTTTTTTAAAAAAAAAAAAAGAAGTATTTATTCCTATTGCATCACTTTCTCATGCATGGATTTATTGCAAAACTTTCACGAGGTGCGTGATTATTGCGTGTGATTGTTGCAGGACTGCATTGAAGGATATGAATTTTTTATTTCTCTGAAAGACTAGCAGACGTGAAGCACATATTTGATGACTCTCAAGCTTTTCCAGTTGATGTTGATGATGGAAACTCGTTTTATATTAACGATGAGAATGTTAATTTTTTCGCTGATTGGGACTAAATGCTCCGTGCATTCCGAGGTCGGCTAAATGGATTATAAATGTTACACAAGGTCATAATAATATTGTTGACGGGTGATGTTTATCTCCAATTTATCAATTTGTTCATTTGGGGTAGTTGTAGGTCACTGTGAAATTTTGATAAGGTTAATTAAATTTATTTAAGTCGCCGTAAAAGTTATTAAAAGTTTTTTCCAAAAATTCTATTTTACTCACTTTTAATTTTTATTTTAAAAAATATTCATCCTAAAAAAAAAAAAATTTGGTCAAATTTTGTAGCTAAAAGTCTCTTATTTACTACAAAATTTGTCCGGATCAAAAATATTAATTAGTTCAAAAGTTATGAACAATTTAAGTTTGCCCAAAAATTCAAATTTTTCCAAAAATTCAATTTTACTCACTTTTAATTTTTATCTTAAAAAAAAATTCATCCTAGAAAAAAAATTTTGGTCAAATTTTGTAGCTAAAAGTCTCCTCTTTACTAAAAATTTTATCCGGTTCAAAAATATCAATTATTTCCAAAGTTATAAACATTTAAAGCTTGCCCAAAAATTCAAATTTTGAACTTTCATCATAATCACCCATTTTTTTATTACAAATCTTCAATTTTAAATACCTCAAGACCTATCACCGCTATAAAAAAACTTTCTTAACAAAAATTGTAGCTCAAAGTTTTCTTAATCCACCAAAATTAACCCGGCTCCTAAATTCCAATTCCACTTAAAGTTACAGAGGTTCAAAACACTTGTAAAAATTTGGAAAAATCAAATCTTTAAAAAAAATCGAATTTTTATTACGCAAAAAATTTATTTAATAATTTATAAGGAAGCTTGACCGAAAGTTTATTGACTTAATAGTTCAATAAGATTACAAACTTTCTATTTCCAAAAAAAAAAACCAAATTGACCTGTAGATAACGCAACGCTAGATGTTATCTATAAAATAGAATAAAAGAATTATCAAAAACTAATAAATTCAAATGTAAAATCACCAGACTACGTGGCGGCAATTACAATCTATTAACCGTAACCTATATAACAAAAAGATTTCACTTGATAATAATCCTTCTTATCAAATTGTAAATCAATCTATCCATTTTTTAATCCTCCGTATGGATTTTTATCCAATAAATTAATTACAAGAAAAATTACGATAGCTAGCTTATCAATCACGAGGATATTGAGCGAATTGTTACTCTTACATAATTGCTTTTTAATTAACAAGAGATCGATTCAGATCATAGGAATTAAAAGCGCGGCATTTATTGCAATTTTTATTTTTTTTTCCGCGGGTCTATAGTAGAGAAAGTCGCTGATTTTGCGAGTCAAAGGTTCAGTATAATAATAATAATAATAATAATAATAATAATAATAATAATAATAATAATAATATAATGAACAATATTGATAGCGATATCTTTATCAATACTTGTACATTATACTATTTACATGTGATGAGTCGTCACGTGCCTCAGTCCAAATACCTCTCCTCAGGCTTTATCATATCTCAGACAAAACATCCATGTGACTCGTCATGTGATTTTGAAAGTAATCTGTAATCTTTTTTTTTTCTCTTTATTAAACTTATTTTGATGTAAATATTTATTATTAAATATTTTTTTAAATAGGTCAATTTGTTTTAGAATTTTTTATAATAATAATAAGAAGAATTAATTGATATATCCAAGATTGTAATATCAATTTTTATGGATTAAAAAAGCCTATACAATCTTTGAATTTGACTGAAATAATTATTTTTTAATTTTAAATTTAAATTGATTCAATTTTTTGAGAATTTTTGACTTTTTGGTAGATTAATAATAAAATTTAAAAGGTAAATATATATTATATACTGAAAAGTATATAAAAAAAAAAAAAAAAAAAAAAAAAATTGGAATTAGACTAAGCCGGGATTCGAACCCTGGTCTTTATGAATACCTTTAAGGACCTTCTATTATTTATTTTTTTTTTAAAAAACCAACAGCCAAAGGTCACATTACTTTACATTTGATCTATTATATATAATTTTACATATTTTTTTTAATAAATATTGTTTAGTTACGAAATAGATTGTGCACTTAGGTACAATAGCTTAGGTATTATTTTCAACTAAAAATAATTTTTTTCTAATTTTATATCATTTATATAATTATGTAATTTTTTTTTTATAGATATTTTTAATCCTATAATATAAAATATATTATTTAATTAAAGATAGTTTAGTATTGAAATTCTTGATAATAATCTAAAAAATGGACCTTTATTCCTTATTGGTTTAAAATTAGTGCGCGCGCAGAAAGCGCGGGATTTAAATTTCTAGTATTTATTTAAATTTAGAAGCACCTTACATGTAATATTAAAGATCTGGGTTCGATTCCCGGCTTGGTAAATCCCAATATTTTTTTTTTTTTTTATAATTTTCAATGAATTTACATAACAGTTTTTATTTTTAATTAAAAAAAAATTATAAAATTGTGATTAAAGTTTTCAACAAAAAAAATTAAATTAAAAAATTTTAAAATCTTTAATATTTAAAAATTAATAAATCAAAAGCTTAATTAATAATAATTATAATAAAATTAATTCTTTAAAATTATTATTGTTATTTAATTGTTTTTCTTTTTCAGCATAAATAAAAATAATAATACTTAATTAAATAATCTTAAATTATATGCAATAAAAGTAATAAATGTCATGGTCACACAATTCTCTGCATTACTGGTCGTTCGTAAACATGAAAAATTCATAAAAAGCATTAACCTACAAGTTTGTTATTGTTATGAAGTTCGCATTACAATTCTAAACTCTAGAAAAACATTTAAAATTAGTTATTTTAATACTTAAAAAATTTATAAATAAACATTTATTCACCTAAACATCAATACAATTAATTAATAATAAAAAAAAAGCGTCTACTGTGTGCTAACAATACGACACTTTCAATGTTGCGATCTATTTGCAATGTTTACAAAACAATCAGCGCAGAAAGATATCTCAGAAAATCTCCTAATTTTGTGATTAGCATCCGGACGGTAACTAACCAAGTTCCCCGAATTTCTGAACTTTTTCCGGTAAGTAATTTATTTTTATTTGTATTTAAAATTCACGATCTTTATTTATAGAATACATTTAATTTATTATAAATTTTTTATTTATCAACAGAATAATAATAAATAATTATGCTAATTTATTAAATTCAATCTTGTTTATTTATTTTTTAGATTTTAAATTAAAGAAAAAAATTTTTTTTTTATATTTATTAATCAGTCTCATGATTTATGACCCGGAAAACAATAAATTATTGTATAATTCTTACAAATATTGATTAATTTACATATTTCATTAACATTACAATAAATTATTAAAAATAATATTTTTATTTTGTAAAAATATAAATTTATTCTTAAAAATACTATAATAATCATTTTTAACATATAAAAGATAAAAATCTTTTTATTAAAAAATTCAGACATTTTAACAATTAAAAAAAAATTAATTTAAATAAAATATTTATCATTCTAAAATTTTTACTAATAGTATTTTAATTAATAAAAAAAAAAAAAAATAACCCCAAGACCGGACTCGAACCCTGTTCGGTCCGCGCTGTTACAAAAGAGTAATACCACTTAGCCAGTAAGCATAAGTTAACCTACGACGGATTCTTGTAAAAATAATTTTATTTTAAAATCTACAAAATTTTATTTATGTTTTCAAGGTATATAATACTAAATACACTATTTAAATAAATTTTATATTAATTATAAAATTAATTTAAATAAAATATTTAAAAATTTTTAAATAGTATTTTAATAATAAAAAAAAAAAAATTGAAGCTGAGGTCGGACTCGAACCCTGTTCGGTCCGTGTGGTTAAGAAAAAATGAAACCACTTAGCCAATAAGCATTAGTTAACCTACGACGGATTCCTTCCAAATTAATTTTATTTTTACCTCTACAAAATTTCTATGATGTTTTCAAGGTATATAATAAAAAAAATACAAAAATAAATGGTTAAATTGAGTAAAATAAATAAATTGTACAAGGAAGTAAATATAATCGAATAAATGAAACTGAAGTAATAATAAAAACGTCTAGAAATGTTAGAAACCCAGCACGTGCCTAACTAACTAAGCAGAATAAGGAAAGACCGAAAAAAACACGTGTATCAATAATAAAGTGTTTATAAGGCTTCAATTGACCGAGGGGGGTAGATTAAGTGATTACGCTCTAGCCGCCTGAAGGTCACATAAAGACTCCCTTAAAAGGTCACGCTCACGGCCAGTTCTGTCATTTAAATTTAAATACTCGTCGTGACAACATTCCGATAAAAAACGGTTTTAACTTTTACCAAATAAAACTATGGACTTGCCGAAGAAACACATTAAAAAAATTCTGTCCGCTATTCTGAGACCGCTGATCTCTTCCGCGACTGAAAACCGGCTACCGATTGACGAAGACAGTGATTAATTTAAATTTAATTACGTGAATAGTTACCGTGATAATGTTTTGCAAAAAATCTCGGTCGGTTGATAATGTATCACGTTATGGGTCCAAGACTATTGATAGATACTTTACGCCCAAATTACAGAAGGATATCAATAATAATTGCCAGCCGAGATTTAAAGATGCGGAAGAAGTTGATTATTATCCGAATTGTGATACTTCCGTTTGGATGCGATCTTGTGAGAAGGAAGTTATTGAGCCGATTTTTGGAAAGACGACTGGTGTGATTCCTAAATGGCTTAAAGGAACTTTGCTAAGAAATGGACCGGGGAATTTAAAAGTTGGGGATTATGAATTCGATCACTTGTTTGACAGCTCTGCGTTGTTACACAGGTAACTTTTTTTTTTAGTTTATTAAAAGTGAAGCAAAAAAAAGTTTTTATTCCGTTTTAATACAAATTTTAATTTAGAAAATTGAAGAATAAGTTTTTTAAAAAGTGATTTTTCTAGCGTAAAAGTAGAAAATTGATCAACGATTCAAAATAAAATTGATTTTCAGTTAAAAAAATTTTTTAACTTACTTTTTTTGGCATAAATTGAAAATTTTTTTGAAAATCGGCCATATTAGGAGCATATTTAGGTTTAAAGGGCTCGATATGCTCAAAAATAATTTTTTTATAAAATTTAGTACCAAAAATTTCCAACAGGTGGCGCATGGTCGCTAAATTTTCTCGCTACTAGAGAGTTCACTTTCAAAATATAAGTAATGATTTTTTTTTCTTTAAAAAAAGCTTATCTGTTATTAATGATCAGTTTGATAAATTATTCAATCAATTTTAAAGTAATATTCTATAATTGACTTGAAAATTCTATTAAAAAGTCCTAAATAAGTAAATAAATAAAAAAAAAAAAAAATTTTTTTTTAATTTAATCACAATTTTTTAATTAGATAATATTTTATGAAGGCATTTTATGAAAATGGGCCATATTAGGAACATATTTAGGTTAAAAAGGCTCAATATGCCCAAATATAACTTTTTTTTTATAAAACTTAGTACCTAAAATATCCAACAGGTGGCGCATTGTTGCTAAATCTTCTCGCTACCAGAGAGTTCAATTCTAAAGTATAAATAAATTTTTATTTTTACTCTAAAAAGCTTATCTGCAATTAATTATCAGTTTAATAAATCACTCACTCAATTTTTAAGCAATTAAAAAATTAAAAATGATATTCCATTATACTGGATAATTTTACCACAAAATTTAAAAAGTTTCTCTAGGAATTTTTAAAAAAAATTTTGCTTCATTTTTAATCCCCACCAAATTACCGACATAAAAAAACTAAATTAATCAATAGGTTCCACATTTCCGATGGAAAAGCGACATACCAAAGGCGCTTCATCCAAACAGACGTTTACAAAAGAAACCAACAAGCCCAAAGAATCGTCTTGACGGAATTTGGAACAAAAGCAGCTCCAGATCCTTGCCAAAGTATCTTCCATCGGTAATTGTCTTCTTTAAAAATGATTAAACCCAAACTTAATCAAACTTGAAACTTCCGTAGAGTTTCTGCTATTTTTAACCCAGCAGACAACGCATCAGACAACACAATGATATCCGTTTACCCTTTCGACGATGAGTTCTACACATTTACCGAATTCCCCGTGGTCCACAAAATCGACCCAGTAACTTTAGAAACCAAAAATAAGGTCAACATCTCGAAACACGTGGGTATTGTAAACCACACATCGCACCCACATGTGGCCAAAGATGGGACTGTTTACAATGTGGGACTCCATGTTGGTTCCAAGGGTCCAGAATACAGTGTCATCAAGTTCCCAATTGCTCGGAACGCTGGTACCCACAATTAAATAATAGATTTACTTATCAAAGCTAATCAATAGATTAGCTTACTTTCTATTTTAAATTTGATGTCTTACAAGTGATATTTGATGTTAAAGACAAATCGATGTTCGACCAAGCCGAGATAGTTGGTAACGTCCCTGCTAGATGGCCCATGAATCCATCCTACATGCACACTTTTGGAATTACCGATAATTACTTCATTATCATCGAGCAGCCGCTGGCTATTTCATTCACCAAGATGGTCAAGTGTCATTTGATGAACCAGCCGCTTTGCACTTGTCTCAAGTGGCATGATGATCAAAATGTAAATAACTATTGTTTAGTTTTTTAACAATGCATTAATCATAAATGTATTTCCAGACGCTTATTCATCTGATATCAAGAACCGACGGGAAATTAAAAAGAACATTTACCGCTGAAAAATTCTTTTTCTTCCACACTATAAATCAATTTGAAACGCTTGATAAAGATTACATTGTTCTTGATTTGTGCTGCTACAAAGACGCTAAAATGCTTGACTGCATGTACATAGAATCGATTAAGAATATGCACAAAAATCCTAATTACGCTGAATTGTTCCGCGGACGACCTTTGAGATTCATTTTACCAATTGGAAAAGATGAACATAGTCAGGATAACTTAATTAAGATTGAATTTGTGCACCAAACTCTCAATTCTAATGACAACAACAATTTTAACATTAAAGACACAAAGGATATGTTAAGCCGCAAAGCATCAGCTTATAAACTTCCCGACGGTAAAATTTTCGTAAAACCAGAACTAATTTGCGATCTGGGTTGCGAAACTCCAAGGTTCAATTATAAGCTTCTCGGCAAAGAGTATCGTTATTTTTACGCTATTTCCAGCGATGTTGATCTTGATAATCCTGGAACGGTAATTAATCATAATACCTAATACTGCTTTGTTTTATATCTTAGATCTGGTATCATGATTCTTGATCTTCCGACAAAATATCTTAAATAATTAAATTACCAACACATAGGGTAGAAGTACTGTTTTTGGCCATTTATTGTTCATATAAACGATAGAAATGAATTTATATTAATAAACCATTATGATCTCAATTTGTTTTAATATCAATTTTTTTACAATTCAACAAAAATATGGTTATAATAAGGTAAAAGACCCAGTTATTGACATTTGTAATTTTATTTTAATTAAAAAAAAAATAAATAAACTAATAAACATAATTTTTGAGTTATAAATTTTAAGAAAATAGGTTTTTTGAAAACATTTAATTTTTTTAATTAGAATAAAATTGCAAGTGTCAAACAACTAGGCCAGTGTCAATAAGTGGGTTTTTTTTCTTATTATAATTTTTTATAAATTAATTCAAATGTTAACTGGCCAAAAATGGTACTTCTTTTTGTTTTTATGAGCTACAGTCATTTGTACTAAGCAAATTATAATTGATATCAACTTTGCTTTGTGACAACATTACTTATTAATATTTTTATTACTATTTTATTTGTTATTATTGATATTATTATGATATTTATCTCTTTTGTATCCATTTTGTAAAGCCCTTAAGGAGCTAAGGCTTCAGGGTCTAAAATTTTGATAAATAAATAAGCTTGTTACCGTTTTGTGCCCTTTTATCATGGATTTTGTGTGATATTTAGTCTCGGAATATTTATTTTTGGGATATTTTGTCGAAGGATCAAAACGCCTGATACACTTGAATTCTATATTCAGGATATATTTATAGGTTATAAAGGTCGATACTGCAACCAAAACTCGGGTTACTTGGAGCGAAAAAGGTCTCTATCCAAGCGAGCCAATTTTTGTCCCAAATCCTGAAGGACAGGTTCGTACCATAAATTTGGTCAATACTTTTTTGGGTCGTAAAAAATGTTTCCGTTGACATTTTCCAAACTTTTTTTTTTTTAAATCACATCTACGGAACCCCTAGAATCTATAAAAAAATACCCCGAGCTTCTTACTTAACACCTAAGCCCCGAAAAGTTGCTCCCACCTTTTGATTCTCGATTCCTGAATTGCGGAATTGAAATGACCCTTCTTTTTTCCCCCTTTTCTGGGCCGCAAATTAACTTAGGAGCTTGGGATATTTTTTTCTAGATTCTAGGGAGTGTATAGATGCGATTTGTGCCCAAAAAGTTTAGAAAAAATCGATTCTAAGATTTTTTACGGCCGAATTAGAAAAGGTCAATTTTTTTAAATTGATGAAAGTGGCGGTATTTTAGGATGAAGATGACGGAGTTATCGTCAGCGCAGCTGTTTTTGGGAAGAGCAATGAGTCTGAAGTGTGTTTGATAATTATAAATGCAAAAACAATGAAGGAAATCAGCAGAACTGTGTTTTCCACTCCCGGGCCAGTTCCTAAATGCTTGCACGGGTGGTTTTCTATGGACAAATAAATATTTTTAATACTTATGATTAAAATTTTTATTTCTAATAATAATAAACTCAAATAATATGTAAAATAAAATAAATTATTATTTGTATTGTCTTTTTTTTTTTGCATTTTCATTTTAAGATTTCCGTACACAACTATACAATATTTACAAAATTACATTACTAATTAACAATTGTGTTTAGTTTATTTATAATTTTTTATGTACATTTTACGCAGTTGAATTTGTTCAGTTCAATATAATATATTTGATAGCATTATTACCGGTCTAGATTTTAGACAGATGGAATGTTGGATTTTAAACGGTATTTATAAGTTATAATTATTTATTAACTATATTTATTGCGTTTGATTATATTGGCACAACTTGGTCACATTGTTTAGATATTTTGTCGAAATTAAGCAAAATGGCGTATATTTGATCGAAAATTGAGCATAACAATTTAATTTTTTTTGAGCATAAATTACAGGTCCATTTTGCTTACAAAATATGTGGCCTTTAAAATTAGTCTCCTCAATAAATACACAATACATATTAATAATTAAAATTAATATGTAAAATCCTCGTAAATGTATTAATAAAAATAAATATCTAATTTGGGCTACGGCCAGCCGTAAAATCCTACTTAAACAAAAAAAATAAAAATATATAGCAATCCTTAGATCACTTTGTATTAATGGTCACGTCCCTAGATTGACGAGACTATCACAATAATTAATGTTAATAATTACAACGATTAACTTATAAACATTGCATTTAATTGCATAAAAGTATTTATGTATCTTAAATAGGGCCAGAATTTTCGCAGAACCTCTAATAAAGAAAAAAACGCAAACTTCCTGGCTCTACTTTACAACCTTAGACATTCTCAACCTTAGATTTGTCGTCTGTGATTACGCTTATAGAGTTTAGTTTATCATCGTCCTTTAGGATTTCGGTTTCAGCGTCACTTTTGGTTAAACTGGACACTGATACTGTTGGATTTATGTCTGCGTGCGCTGGTGGTATGCCTGAATTGGCGTCTTCGATTGCTTTTCTTAACTAGAAGCATAAAATAGTGTCAAAATTAATGTAAATTAGCCTTAAGGCTACAAATTGTAATTTGAAGAACATAATTAATGAAAATTAGCCTTAAGGCTTCCAATTGTAACTTTAATTTGAAGAACATAATTATTTGAAATTAGCCTTAAAACTTTTAATTGTAATTTTAATTTAAAGAACATAATGAAAATTACCCTTAAGTTATCAAATTGTAATTTGAACTCAAACATTATAATTAATAAAAATTGGCCTTAAGGCTTTAAATTGTGATGCCTTATAAAGAAACTTCAAAGAAAATTGCTCAAAAATGTCTAAATAATAGCACCGTACCTCTTTAAGCGCAACAACACCAACAAGTCTCCCAATAGCAGTCACATAAGCATGATTAACGCCAACCATGCTAAAAAGACTATGAACTTTGAGCAGCGAAGTTCTCTCCACCAATTGAAAAGGAGCTGGATCAATATGACACCTAGAGAAGTCAACATCCGCGGCCATTTCGCTTTCTTCCCACCGTTTCTGGTCTTCGGGGGACATATCTATCACCCTTTCCCTCGGCTGAAACAGAAGATCACCAATCACCAATCAAGACCTAACCAAAGCTTTCTCCAATCTACAATCTCAACCTACCAATTGGACCTTCTTGGAAGTAGCAGGACTGGGCGCCAACATAGGAGTATGCGGCGGAATATTAGCTTCATCAGAACTGTCCCTCCTAGCTCCATCAACAGTTCCAACTTCTGGATCAGGATCGACATCTTGAAGCGTAGCAGACTTGCGGAAGATGGCTTCAAAGGCCAATCTGATCCTGCTCTCAGCTCCAGTGACTGTGGTGTATGGAGTCATCGCTGGACTGACCAACGGACTGAACCCTTTGAGTGTAAATGAGTTGGTTTTCTTGAGAATTGACTTCTTGGGCTGGGTCCCGAAGCACGGAGTGTGGAAAGTGTGATGATCTACATTGGTCAAGTCACTGACACTTTGCCTCTGCATCTTCAGAATATCCGGAGCTGGAATCACTTCAAACCGCGATGGCCGCCTAGTTCGCTCCGGATCCCTTAATTGCCTTTCCATTTCTTCCTTAGCGCGTTCTTCTGCTTCCTTGTGAAGCTTCTGAGCCACCTGGAGCCTCCTTTCCCTTCCTATCTGCTTCTCGATTAGTTTTATCAGTTCTAATCTCTGGATGGAGCCTAATAGGATCATGGAAGCTGGATTGTCAACTAAGGGGAATCCCCGGAGCTTGCGGTTGTCCTTCAAGGTGTCTTTAAGCTTCTGGTAGCTGATTCCATGGTAGATGTACTTTACGTCCCTGACCATGAAGTCTTCCACATAGATGTTGTACATGCCTGGAAGAAGGTCAAATTATTAAGCTAAGCTAACCAAAATGGGAATTGTGGGTCTTTACCTTGGATCCTATCGCTTGCGATAAAGAAAAGGTGTTATTAGTGTTGGAGTGTTTGTTATTGTAGACGAAATATACAGAGTAGTTACCTGAACTCGAGGGTAATAAATCTGGCAGATAAGGTAGCTTTTTAATGAGAATAATACTGTCGTATATGCTCGGCTGAAGTAATGCAGCAATAGCGTTGCTAATCAGCACGGCGATCATTATTGGAACAATGTGAGTGATTTGTCCGGTCATTTCAAAAACTATAACGCTTACGGATATGGTGTGGGTCACTCCCGCTGAAAATGCTGCAGCTCCAACAGTTGCGTACCCCCCTGAAAATAAAAACACTAATTAAACTGGTTCTAAGTGGTAAGACGACTATCAGGAAAATCTATATGGGAAACTAGCCATAGTGTTTTCGGATAAATTCCCATTTGTGGATTTCATTGATAGGAGAACCTTACCTGGTGTAATAGGAGTGTTGAATCTGCCATATCTGACCCCGTTGGGAAAAGAAAGCGCCATTGCTTCACCAACAGCCCGCCCTAAAGCGGCGCCAATTTTGAACACCGGAATGAAGATTCCCGAAGGCACAGGCACTGTTGAGCATATAATCGAAAACACAAAGGTGAAAAGCGCGTACGCAAACAGTCCCACGAAGACATCAGAATATGGAGTGGACCAATGCTGAACTACGCTCATTTCTTCGACACTGAGTCCGGACTTGGTCCAGGTGAAGTTGGTGAAGAGTCCTTGGACCTGGTTGTGGGTGTTGAGCTCCCCAGCCATAAACTGACCCAGTCCCATTGGGAAGGACACCGAAGCTACCATCAGCGAAACGATTCCTGGGTACAGAAATCGGTTCTTTTGTAGGAACAAGTTCATACTCTTGTTCTTCCGCATGAATATAACGTACTGTCGGTGCAACCAGACATAAAAAGCGCCACCTAATCCACTGCCCACCCCAATTAGCGCAAAAATGAACAATTCTTGGGGGTCAAATGGGAAGTCCATTGTAAAGTTAGTTGCAAACATTGCAGTTATCGTTTCTTCCCTCTGGAACCAGATCGCCAGCAGCCTGAACATGGTAGCTCCGCAAACGGCAGCGAAGAATCCTCGCCAATAGTTTCTTACCGCGAAGTAGACAGTAGTTACTTCGATGCTGAACAGGACACCTCCAATAGGAGCCGCAAAACACGAAGCCACTCCAACAGCACACGCTGCGGCTAACATTTCGCAGTTACGGCTCTCGTTTTCGTAGATTCCTTGGAAACTGGTGACCAATTTGGACAGCAAGGTCGCTACGATACTGGCGATGTGGACGAACGGACCTTCCTTTCCTAGGGGCAGTCCCGAGCCTAGGGTAGCTGTTAGGCCGATTACTTTCGCTACCAAGGTTCTGAAGGTCAAGTATTCCTTCAAGGCGACTCCGCGTAAAATGGTCTTCATTTCGGGAATTCCTGACCCGATACTCTGGGGAGCTACTATGTGGACGAACCCCGCGCTGAAGAGGATCAGGCACACTGGTAAGGACACCCACGCTAGGTACTGCAACGCCGGGTGCGACGTCAAGTCTTGATACAGCCATATCCTGGCTGGAAAAAGTTTAAAATCAGATTCAAGGTAAGCCTTGATGAAGTTTTGGTGAAACTTTGATACTAACCGTTGTTGCACATGGATATTCCGCGGTCCATCGCGTAGCTGATCAGCGCCATTATGATTCCAAGCAGAGCTAAGAACACCCAATCTTCACCCAACCTCGCTCCAGTGTGCTTCCAGATGAACGCTAGCAACGCTACTGCTTTCCGACATACTGGGCCACGTCGTGATTTTCTCAAGTCTTCGGCTCTGACCTTGTCCAGCTTTCTTCGGGCCTTATCGTGGGACTTAAGTTTCCGTGCTTCTTCCTTTGCGAATTCACCCAGGTCCTTCGTATAGCGACCATACATCTAGAAATTCAAGATAACGTCAATTTCAAGGTAATCTTATGAATTTTCTAGGTGGTAGTTTCATGCTTGGCCGCTAGGTGGCTGCTCGGCGGATTTTCTCTCGCTAGCAGATTGGCAATTTTGTAGTATATAAAGAGCTCACACGGATAAGTTAGTAAACATGCTAGTGATTAACAAACTTACAACGTAGTCATCATTGCAGACGAAATAGGCTTTGTTCAGGAGACTGGCCGGCATAAATACGAAAAATTATGAAAATTGTTTATTTATATAAACAAACTAACATTGATTCAAGTGACAGAGGAATTCATTATTAGATATTACGGTTTATTAGGAACATCCACACAACTTTTATTTTAAATTCTTGAATTGAATCAAGCAACAGATGTTGAATGGCGCCGTCGGTGGTTAAACGCAAACTGACTCGAGGATTTGAGCATTTTAGATTTGTCGAAATTTGGCAAGAGAGGCTATTATTATTTTTAGATTGTAGCTAATGCTAGTCATAGGTAGATCGCTTTCCACTACATCTCTCTTACCTATTGTTTACTTAATACATTAACAGACAATTGTCAGACATAAACTATTTATATTCCCACTTATTACTGTCATTGTTCCTGAACTTTTCCGTTTTTTTTTTCTGCTTTTTTATTCTATTTATTGATCGAAGGTAATCTATCGAATCGTTAGCTGTTAACTTTATTTTCGCTTATGGTTTACTTTTATTTCTATACTAACTAGTAGAAAAAAGACGACTGTCTTAATGGGAATACTGCACTAGACTGGGGTCAAATGCTGGCTGTTAATCATTTGGCAACCTCGACATTGAAGATGTCTACCTATATTTCTCCGCAAGCTCTTTTGCCAAAAATAACTATTTTTATTGAAAATTTGTCTTGTTTATATGGTTTAGATTTGCAAGTCTTTTTCAATTTTGTTTCTTATATCAATCTTACCATTACATACAGAAAAAAAGAATTTTTTTTGGTTTAAACTAAAAAAATTTTTTTCTGGTTCTGCGCAAAAAAATTTTTTTTTTTTTTTTTTTTCCTTAATTTTGGTCTACAAAATTATTTTTACACCCTAAAGAACGAAACCTATCAATTTTTAATTAATTCCGTTGATAAACAAAAAAAACGTTTTTTGTCGGAAACTCTATTAGTTGTTAAATTCGCATTTTTAAGGGCTAAAATGAAGTTTTTCTTCAAGTTTCCGATCACCATATCATAAAGGGGGTAAAATGGTGACAGTTAATTTAAAATTATGAGCAGTTAGCAAGTATAATGTATAAATAGTAATAGTTGTAATTTATCTTTTAATGCTATAATTTTTTGCTATTTAATTTGAGGCTTGAATTGACGTCAACAATGACCACGTCCTACTGGGCAATGGTTAGCAAGTCCAATTTTAGTGATCGGACCTACATTATTAGACACCATTGTCTATTATTATCGAACACCCGGCTTTAAATAATATCAATAAGAAACAAGAAACAAAAAAACAAGCTGCAAAAAATTAGTAACGTAACATCGCGTGTAACAGAATCTGTTATTGGCACGATTTTTTTGAAATCAGTCACGCAAGTGTAGATAAAGTATCTTTCCATCATTTTTATTCATTTTACAAGTAACTTCAAGAGATACTACATATCATCCATCAAAAAACGGTCCTTGGGATCTGCAGAAGCTTAGCGAGTGAATTCCTGCTACATTGACGCACATATTAGAACAACAATGGCTGCTCCGTAAGCACTGGAAGAAAAAAGTGCAGAATTATAATCAATTCCTTAGATTGGGATCAAAAAATAGTATGCAGAGGATTACAAAGTATCCAGAGGGAGCACAATATGATATTCTTACGGTTGATTTCGCCGTTGTGGAAAAGTGACCCTTGTTGCAGAATTCAAAGTCTTCTTGATACTATCGAGGGAATTTTGATTAGTAATATCAATTATTTATGCTTCAAGATTGAAAGCTGTTTGATACTTACTATAAAATTAATCAACAAAAACACAAATATTTTTTTGAACATTTTTTGTTGGAAGAATTTAAAGAACTAATTGCACTAAAGTCGAATTCATTCTGAGCCAAAATAGATGTAAGATAACGAATAAGGCCATTAATTTTTTTAACAAACTTAATTGGATTCTAATGATATAAAATAGCCTAAAGCTATCGAATTTAAAGAAAAACAATTGTTCTGAATTTTATTTATAGTCTTAATGAATTGCCCCAGACGCTAATTATAAAAATTACCAAGATTTATTATACGCAATTGAAATTATATGCAAAACAAGTTATATTAGCGACATATATAAGCGTCATGCGCATAACGGTTGAATTGTCACCAAGCGTTTGTGTTTATATTAAATTCTATCAAAGATTCTATCGTTGTACTACTCTAACTGCTAACTGCAATTGTATCCTCGTAACCGTGTTATTAAAATAGTTCCAGTCGCAGTGGTTATTGCTCATATGCGAACTACTACTACTTCAATTAGATTTAAATATTGTTCGGATAATTTAGTCGCATATTTGTGGATTTTTTTTTGAAATTTTTGATTATATATCTGTAAATACAGGTATATGAATTTCAATCAAGGGCATCCGTTTCTGTTAAAATTGCACTTTTTCTCTCAAGGTCATGTTAATTTTATACCCATGCCCACGCAATTTGCTATGGCTTGATAAAAGTTCTTTTTAGAGCTATTTATTTTTGGTGGAAATAAAAAAACCTAACTTGTAATTTAATGTTTATTGAATTTAATAATTAATTTTAAACAATTTTTTTTATAAATTGTTCTCTAGAAACTGTAGATATCAATTTTATATATTAAGACACTTAATTTGGAATTTTTTATGGAGATTATTTCGTAAAGCTACCGCTAGGTGGCGATATGGCGCTTTTATTCTCGCTTGCAGAAATTTAAAATCCAAGTTTCTATCATTTAAATCTTCAAATCTGAATTTATCTATTAAATTATCATAAATTAAACAATTTTCAACAAAATTAAAAAAAAATAATATATATATATATATATATCAGGAATATTAATTAAAAAATATAGAAATAACTAAGTTTTTAACTAATACAGCCTTTAAACTTGAATTCTTTATTATTTAACCAAAAAAAGTAACTTTTTGGCTATTAGTTTGTAAAGCTACCGCTAGGTGGCGATATGGCGCTTTTATTCTCACTTGCAGACACTTAAAATCCAAATTTTTATCATTTTAATCATTAAATATGAATTTTTATATTAAATCGTCATAAATTGAACTATTAACAACAATATTGGAGAAAAATTGTACATATATTGGGAATATTAATTAGAAAATATATAAAATAACTAATATGTCCTCCAAACTTGAATCATTGATTATTTTGTCAAAAAAGTAACTTTTTGTCAATTAGTTCGTAGAAGCACCGCTAGGTGGCTCCGTGGCGCTTTTATTCTCGCTTGCAGAAACTTAAAACCAAAAATATATAACAATTTCAACTTTTTATCAAAATTTTGATAAATTAGAGTGACTAGTGTTCCAAAAGTGTCTTAAATTATTAAAAATAGTGTCTTTAATGATAAAAAAAATCCATGCGCATGCATAAAAAATATATCCAAAGCCCTTACAATAGTATTAAGATAATCAAAGGGATCAAACTCTTGCTGGTCATCTTCTTTGGGTGGCGGGCAGGGGTAGAATGCCTGAGAAGGTCTATTGATAAAAATGATTCACATTCAAAAATCGGTAAAAAAATAATTAAAAAAAAACACTAAAGGGATAATTAAGGTACCTATTAGGTCGATTTGACCGACTGTTCCTTAATTTGGCCATGAGACGAGTGAAATCTTCCCACTCTTTATCAACATCTTCTTCATTTCCATCCAAAACAGCTACATCTGGATGATGATGTCGATGTCTGTGCTGACTATCTTCCTCCTTTTTTCCGGAACTCGCCATAATTATTTTTAATAAATAATTCCCGTAAAAAAAATCACTATCAATTACAGAACAACACTTTAAAATTTCCACGAGTCAATTACACATTGTTGATTGTAAAAAAAATATATGAATGAATGTGCACCACACCATTGTCAATGGTGGACTGAGTCACGCAGCAATTCGCAGGCGTCACGAGTCACCACTGGTTCAATTTATAAACCTCATTAGACTCACACATCAAAGAGGTACTAACTATCGAATTATTTTATCTAGCGGGTATTTATTTCCGCTTTTACGATCAATGTTCTTTCGGAGAAGCAATTTTCGGGAGATTTGATTGGTATGTTTTGGGATATTGTAAATATTTTATTTAGATAATTATTTAGCTGGAGAAGTGGTTAGTGATAAAAAGAAAATTAGTGGATTGTTTGAATTGTGCTGCAGACTGTACTAAGTAATGGGCTACTTCCCTCTAAAGAGAGAGGCTGAGGTATAGAAGGGGCCGTAGGAAGCTCGAGTCAAAGTCACAAGTTATCTGCTCTTTTATCATTAGGTCAAAATTGTATGTGATTAAATTAATGTTTTTTAATGCGGTAACGAGGATTTTATAACTATAAGCTTAGTTTTTATTTGTTGATGAAGGTTTTTGTGGTTTGTTTTTGGTTTTTAGGAATTTACGGGGTAAATATAAGGGCCAAAAATTATAAGAAACCATTTTTGGTAGTAAATTAAATCCTCTATTAAAAAGCTCATCAATTTTTTGATATCTTCAACCGTTAAGCCAAAAAACCATGGTTAAAGTTTGAATCTAAAACCTGCGATCTAGTTTCATGAGAACCGGACTTAAGGAAAATTAAAATTCAAAAATATCAAATCTTTTTTTTAGGAAATTTAGGTGTCACGCTTAAATAACCGACGACAAAACAACCAAATGACAAAATAACCGTTTAAAGAAATATTTGGAAGAAATTTAAATGTTGAAAGTATGAAATTATCGTACTTTATTTAAGGTAAAAGTACCGTTTATGGCCACTGTACCAATTATGGCCATTTATTGTTTAAATAAACGATAAAAATTAATTTATATTAATAAACCATTACAAACTCCATAAATTTTTTAAAACTCAACAAAAATATGGTTATAATATTATAAATTTTTATAAATTAATTCAAATGTTTACTGACCAAAAACGGTGTTAAGGTGGCCAAAAACGGTACTTCTACCCTATTTATGTGTCACTCTCACAATCACATAAAATTGTTATGAAAACTTTCGATGTAGTTTTCTATCCACCGTTATTATGTTATTGTATTATTATCTTTGAATTGTAATTAATTCAATAAAATTGTGATGTGTAACAATATTTTGTTTTTTAAAATAAAATATTTCAGATATAAGACGTAATAATAAAGAATTCATGATTCCCGCTCCGTTTGATTATCAATTTTTTAATATCTCCAACTGTTAAGCCGAAAATCAAGGTCAAAGTTTGGATCTAAAATCCACAATTCATGAAAACTGCCGTTAAGGTTATTTAAAATTCAAAATATCTCGATAAATATCAAAAATATAAGACCTTTTTAATAGTAAATTTAATTCTCTATCGGAAAGGTCAATTTTTTTTGCCGTATCTCGAATCCTATAGCCAATATTCTAGTTTTAGTTACATCCCCTCCCTAGTTTTTCGCATTATTACTTTTTATTTGAATTAATAAAAAAAAAAAAAAAAAAATATTGTAGGGCTTAAAGATTGTTAATTATTGTGGAAATAATGACTCTTACCTGATGTTGTTGTGCAAAACAAAAAAACGACATAACAAAGGGTTAACCAGTCAAAAGACAATTTAAAACTGAAGATACATTATCCTTTATGAGCGTTAATAATTATTGTTTTCATTTAGGCCATAAATTTTCGATTTTATGAGCCTAGATAAGCGGTAAGAGATAAAACGACTGTTGGAACCAAATATTTAGATTTTACCGCGATAATTTGTTAAAGTGCTACCATAATTTCTCGAAAAAAAATCCCCTGTTAATTGGTAATTGCTCCAATAAGATGAATTTTAACGGAAGTACCATGGGTTCCATGACCTTAAGATAATATAATAAGAAGAAAGGGGGATAAATGAAAGCACATTAGCTAATGCGAGGCATTATTTACTATTTATCATTTATTCTTTTCCGTTTACAATAATTGAACTTCCTCTTTGCATTTTCATTCTTAAATCTTACAATATAATAATATTTTATTAAAATATATATATTTAACATGTTTGATTTTTTAGTAAAAAAATATTGACCATTTTGCCCCACTTTTATAAATTACAAACTTATTATTAAATTATTCAGTATAATAGATTATTTTTTTTTCTCTTTTATTATTAACGATAAAATATTAATATCTAAACTATAACCGTCAAATTATCACTATCGCTTAATATTATTTACTGCTTTATTTTCTTAGCGGTCTTATATATGTGTATGTCTTATTTATCTATATATATATATATATATTTATTTGTTATACTTCAAGTTGTTAACTATGTAAATTTTAAAATTAGGTTATCAGTTTATTTTTAATAGAATTAAAATAAATTATAGAAAAGCTCGTAATTGTGACCGCTGTTACCTTTTTTTTGTTATAAAAAATTAAAATACTAATATAATCTGGGTTTTAAGTTTCTGCAAGCGAGAATAAAAACGACATGTTGCCACCTAGCGGTGACCGTAGGAACTAATCATAAAAAAATAGCAATCTTACAAGAAAATGATTTAAAAAATACATTTTATTTTTGTTCAATTATTAATAGTTCAAATTATAAGTCAAAAATAATTTTTTTATTTATATAATTAATTTTGATTAATTCTCTTTGATTAATTTCAATTTGGTTGTACAGTTTTTGCAACAATTTAATTAAAATAATAACTTAAACACCTGAATGATAAAAATCTTGGTTTTGAAGTTTCTAAAAGCGAGAATAAAAGCGCCACCTATCCACCTGGCGGTGGCTGTAGGAACTAATAGTTAAAAATTGACAGGTTTATCTTGAAATAAGCAAAAATTACACTTTTTCCTTGCCAAATACTTAACAGTTCAAGTTTTTAGTTTATGATAATGAAAAAATAATTTTTTTAACTAATATAATTAATTTTAATCAATTGTTTTAAATTAATTTCAAGTTGGCCATACAGTGCTTGTAAAAATTCTATCAAAATAAATATTTAATTATTTTACTGATAAAAATCTGGATTTTAAGTTTCTACAAGCGAGAATAAAAAGCGCCACCTCGCCACCTAGCGGTGGCCGTAGGAACTACTCGCTAAAAATGGCCCCAAAAGGCCATTTCATCAAATGAAACTCATTTCTTCAAAATTAATTATTAAAAAAAATAAATTACAATTATTTCTTTACAAAAATAAATTTTCTATTACACTTCAAACTAAAATTAATCATAATGTTTTTTCTTGACCAATTCCATGGCCTTAACGCCCAATTTTTCCGCGAGTTCTTTACAAATTCTAATCTGATTTTTATGATACTCAATTCCGCCGAAAGTGTCAACTTTGGCCATAGCTTTCCTCTCTAGATCCCCAGCGACAAGAACGCCCTCTCCACTACTAACTGGCAGCGCCCTTAGTTGAGAAAGAAGATGACTGAGTCGATTCTCAGCACCTGACCCAAAAGCTTTAGGGTCAATTGCCATGAAACAGTGGCCCAAATTAGCGGTCCTATTAGCGTCGGTCCAATTCCTGATATTGGGCCCGTAAAAACTTCCGCTCAAAATTCCACACAACAATTCCACCATAACACCCAGCCCGTAGCCTTTGTAGCCCGAGTGCTCTTCCGCGCCACCTAGCGGCATTAATTTGTGGTTCTTGAGCGCCTCGCCTGAGTCAGTTGTAATTTTTCCGTCGCTTCCTAGGGCCCAGCCCCGGGGAATGTCTTGCTCCTTGTTGAAAGCGACCTCTATCTTTCCCAACGCAACTGCAGTCGTCGCCATGTCTAGGACGAATTCGTCGTTTTGGGCCCTCATGCCTATCGACAGCGGATTGGTCCCTAAAGCGGCCTGGGTTGAACGCGTTGGGACCATCAGAGGGCTCGTATTGGTCGCACTGAACCCAATTAGGTTCTTCTCCATCGCCATCAGAGTGTAGTACCCGCAAATTCCGTAGTGGTTGGAACCCCGCGTTGATACTAACCCGATGCCGTATTTTTCTGCTTTTTTTATCGCGAGCTCCATGCTGTACTTGCCGATCACTTGGCCCAGGCCGTTTTTTCCGTCTACGAGGGCGATAGCCTAGAAATTGAGGAATTTTTGGTTTTTTATTCAAAAAATTGGCCCTTTAAGACACTATTTAGAGAAATTGGAAGTTAGTTTGGAGATTTTTTGGGTAAAATTTGGACCACATTAATTTGAGACTTTTAAGAATTTTTCCTTTCATTTAAAATTGAAATTAATTGTTTTTGGAAAAAATATTAGAAAAAATTGGACCGTCAAGTTTATCAAAAATGGACCATTTTCCAAATTTTGGACACTTTTTATTGAAAAGAAAATTTTTTAATCATTTTAAAAGTATCCAAATTTATTACTTGGACCAAAATGGTCCAAGGTCAAAATTTTGGACCATTAAAAATTATTTTTCTCAAGATTACTCCCCACAAAAATACACAGAATTTATTTTTTTGATACTAAAAGTGTCCCACAATTGAGATCTGTCCCAAATTTAAAAAAAATCATTTTTTGGAATTTTATATTGTTAAAAAACAAATTTTTAAATTAAAAAAAAATCTAGTGTCACAAAAATTGTTTCCTGGACCAAAAATGGACCATGTCCCAAATTTTGTACCTTTCGAAAAAAAAAAATTCAAATTATTTCCTACAAATTTACTTTTATTAAAAGTCAAGTATCCCAAAAATTCTTACTTGGCCCAAAAATGGACCATGTCCCATATTTGGTACTTTTTCACAAAAAATTGTTTTTCAAAATAATTTCATCCAAAAAAAATTTTTTAACCAAGTGTCCCAAAATTGGTACATGGCTCAAAAATGGACCATGTCCCAAATTTTGTACTTTTCCCAAAAAATTATTTAATCCAAAAAAAATTTATTTTTTTAATTAAGTGTCCCAAAAAACTTCCAAATTTTCAAATAAAAAAAAAATAACCTGAAAGTCATTAACAGTTTCCGGACGAGCAATAGGATTAGTGAGTTTATTCTCAATGTCACTGATATACATTGCAAGTCTATTCATTCCGTGGCTGAAGTGTCCGCGATAATCGGCCGTCATCAAGTGTTGAGCGACGACAGCAGCGTCCTCTCGATTGGCGCCTACTTTATGCATGCTCTCGGTGATAAACCGGATGACCTCTTGCTTGGGTACAACAAGGTCGTCGACTTGGGAGTCGCTGCAAGTCGTAATTGTCCGCCAATTGCAGAGCATCCTCGATAACTTGCTAATGTTTTTCTTAATATTAACATTTGATTTAACACTTATACTCCTGGCTAGCAATGCCATCGTGTAACACTATAACTACACTTATTTACCAAAAAAAAAAAATTGAATTAATTTTAATATCAATCACCAATTAATAAAACAAAATTAAACTGACATAGATAGAGAAATAAAATTATTGACTCAAGCCTTACAAGTGTTTTAACATAATGAGTAAAAATATTCAATATGCTTTTGCTCGAGAGCAAACTCTCTGCGTAGATAACAAAAGTTATACAAGTAATGAATCCCACTAACGTATGTTACTAAATAATTGATATTAACTACGCACGTTCTGACTAAGCGTCTATTATTTGAAAATATTACAGAGTGGGAGCTGTCCCTTTCTCAATTTTTAAAATAAGGTCACTAGGACCGAACTTTAAAAAAGGGACTCAAACTCTAACTCTTAAATTTAATATTAATTTATTTTTGTTATATAATTTTTTTAGGTGGGGAGTCATTTAAATATTACGCAGTTAACTTCTGTGAAGAATATTATTATTTAATTATATCGGGAATTTTTTTATTACCAAATCGTTATTTTTTGATGGGTTAAGTACTATACTTATCAGGAAACTTTTACGCGTAGTGGGGGAAATTTATGATACAGAGTGTGTTATGTTAATTCAAATACTTTCATTTGATACGAGTGGGAGAATGTTATGTAATAACACGCGGGAAAATTGATTTTTTTTTAATAGTAATTTGCTTAGTTTTTTAAATTATTCATTTTAAAAATTAAAAAAAATTTTTTTTTGAGTAATTTTTGAGAATATAAATTAAAAATCACCTTAATTTTCTGTAAATTAAAAAAAATTTTGGTTTTTTAATTTCTGCAAGCGAGAAGAAAAGCGCCAAATCGCCACCTAGCGGCGTTCATAAGAACTATTGATAAAAAATAGCGAAAAATATTTTAAAAACAAGGAAAAAACATTGAATTTTATTTTAGATAAATTTATTATTGACTCAAAATCAAGGTTACAGTAATTAGAAATTAATTTGTTTTAATTAATTGATTAATAGTAATTATGCGGCCTTAAGTTTTAAAAATAATTGATAATTTTGTTATATAGGAATTTAGTTACAACAATTTTAATAAATTAATTATGTTAAAAATGTAAAATCTTGGTTTCAAGTTTCTGCAAGCGAGAATAAAAAGCGCCACCTCGCCACCTAGCGGTGACTTTGCAAATTAATTGGTAAAAATTGCAAAATGGCGATTTAAAACAGTAGAAAAGTTAATTTTTGATGCAGGTAAGTGTTAATAATGCTCAATTGGGTTTAAAATGATTAAAAGTTAATTTTTTAAATCATTAATTTCATTAAATTTATATTAATTAAGTTGTACAGTCTCTAAATCATATAAATTTTTTTAAAGTAATTAATTTAGTAATTAAATCTTGGTTTTAAATTTCTGCAAGCGAGAATAAAGAGCGCCTTATCGCCACCTAGCGGTGAATTTACAAACTAATTTCTAAAAATTCCAAAACGGTGATTTGAAACAGTAAATAAGTTAATTTTTATTGCAAATAAATGATAAATGCTCAATTTTTAGGATTTTAAGTAAGTAAAGATTAATTTTTTTAATTATTAATTTTATAAAATTTATATTTTACATTCTAGAAACATGAAATTCATGTTAATTATTTAAAAACAATTACTCTAGTATTAAAATCTTGGTATTTAAATTTCTGCAAGCGAGAAACAACAGCGCCACATCGCCACCTAGCGGCAGTTCTAGGAACTAATCTCTAAAAAAATTACAACGGAGTGTTTTATAGGTAGATAATGTTTATAATAGTCAATGAAATAGATAATTAAAAGGAAAAAAAAGGATATAATAGCAATTAAAATGAATGATCGAGGATTAAAGAGCAGATTGATTCAAGAGATAAACAAAAACATCTAGAGTAGATTACACATGAGTTTTTTGTGTACAATAAAATGATAGATTATTAAATTGAAATGTTAAATCGAGTGTGTAGGTGCTAAGTGACTCGTGCTAATCGATGATAACACTTTACGTTACGTCACTCTCACACACGTGAGACCAACGTGGTGCAAAGAGCCGAAGGACTTGTTTATACTTGGATTAATTTATTTGTTCATTTTTTTAGCCATTAAAAGTCTTCCTTTTAATTATCTACTAAATACTTTTTCCTCAAACAAACTTTTGTTATTATTATTATTAATTTTTTAGCTAAGGTTATTTTATCTGACCGGTAGCTACATCAAACATACACTTTTTTCTTAACAAATAATTTAATCTTTTTTTTTTACCAACAAAAATTTATTAATTATTTTTTTTTGTATTTTAAAAGAAAATAATATTTATTAAATTATTAATTAAAATTAATTACTATTTTTATCTCCAAAAAATTGAATCTAAAAAAAGAATTAATAAAAAATTTAATTAAATTTTATAAATCATTTAAAATGAAAATTACAAAAAACTATTTGAAAAAAAAAAAAAAATAAAAAATTTTTTTGCACACCCCAAATTTTCAATCTAAGAAAAATTGATTTTTTAAAATTAATAAAAAATAAAACAATCAATTAAAATTACAAAAAAAACATTTACAAGCTAAAAATTCTAAAAATAAAATTTGAACTAATTAATATAAAAATAATAACGTTCCAAATAACATAATTAATAAAATTAAAAACCACACATTATATTGATGTCAGTTTATCAGCGCTTATCAATAGAGTCAATGTTGTCGTAGGATGCAGACATATATATCTATATATATTCCTATAAAATCGTCGCTCAAAATTACCATATTTCTTTCCCGGCGTGAGCTCTCTTTGCGCTCCAATCTCAATAAAAAAAAAAAAAAAATAATATAAAATCTTACCAACGTGTCTTGGTAGCCCCAACTGTGGCCCCCATTCTTCGGCACGTAATTCGGCGCCATTTTGCAATTAAAATTAATTGTATCAAAAAAAAAATTAAATAAAAAATTTCTTCTGTGCAAAATATTTTTTTAACCAGCAAAAATCACATGATTAACTTCCTATCAATGCTCGGTTGCTTAATAAAATTAACATATAAATTATGCAAATCCGCGGACTTAATTTTAATCGCACTTTTTTTTAATTGTAAAAAATTTTTCTATCACAGACAAATTTATAAAAAAAATTTTTAATTAAAAAATTAGCACCGCACATTGACGCTAAAGCGTCTCGACGTACGGCGACGTCTGCTCGGCGTAGCGGTCGTGAGTCAACTGATAGGTAAACTGTGATTTCATTTATTACATTAGTAGTTTACTTGTATGATAAAAAAATAACAAAATAAATAATAAATAAATAATATAATGTGTAACATTGAACGAAATCGCCAATTTATTTTCATCATTATTTTTTTACAAAGCGATTGTCTCGCTTGGACTATTGTTGGTTTATGCAAATAAATTTTTTATCTCATTACTGAGCATCACACTCTTAATCATGTGATTTATTTTTTTTTTTTTGTAAGATAAATTCCGAGTTTTGTTGCGGAAAATTCAAAGGATTTATCACGAGATTCTTTTATTTTTTAATTTAAAAAGAAAAATTACAATAAAAATTTTCTTCAAGGATTTTTTAAGGTAATTTTAATTTATTTGTTTGATGAAAATTGTAATGGTAATTTTATAATTATTCTTTTTAGAATATTATTTTGAAAAATAATTATTTAATTAAATAATTTATACAGAAAAAAAAATATTTTTTTTTATATTAAAAATTTTTAAATAATTAAGTTAAGAATTAAGAAAAATTTTATTAAATCTTATTATTACTTATTATTATTATTATTATTATTATAATACATTCAATTAAACAACCTTTAAATAAAAAATTAATTAATATATACACACATCCCAGGTTTCGTATTAATTTTGTTTCTGCAAGCGAGAAGAAAAGCGCCAAATCGCCACCTAGCGGCGTTCATAAGAACTATTGTCGAAAAATAGCGAAAAACATTTTAAAAACAAGGAAAAATATTGAATTTTATTTTAGATAAATTTATTATTGACTCCAAATCAAGGTTATATTAATTATAAATTAATTTGTTTTATTAAATTAATTAATAGTAATTATGCGGCCTTAAGTTTTAAGAATAATTGATAATTTTTTTATATACGACAATTTAATATATTAATTATGTTGAAAATGTAAAATCTTGGTTTTAAGTTTCTGTAAGCGAGAATAAAAAGCGCCACCTCGCCACCTAGCGGTGACTTTGCAAACTAATTTCTAAAAATTGCAAAATGGTGTTGTAAAACAGTAGGAAAGTTAATTTTGATTGGGTAATTTGCGTCATACCCAAAAATTCTTATCCATTCAATTAAACTACCTTTAAATAAAAAATTAATTAATATACACACATCCCAGGTATCGTAATAATTTTGCTTCTGTAACAGTTCCGGGAACAGCAGTGTTTGTTCACCATATACACTGAAACAAAATTTAGGTTAAGTTATAATAATAATAATAGTTAATTACTATAAATAACCGAGTCACATCTATAATTATAACTATTAAAACTATAAATTTCACTTTTAGGAGTAGTTGTACTAGTTGTAGTTGTTTCAGGAACTTGAATACTACTCCACCATCCAATGTTGCCAATTTTGTAACAGACTCCCGAACAACACTTCGTATGATTTTTACACTAATAAAAATTTATTGTATATTTAAAAAAAATTTTTGTTCCATTATTTAATTTTAAATAATATTTACTAAAAGTCCAGATTGTTTGCACAATTCACGGGAATTATCAACAAAAATTCCAAGTGCGCAACTAATTGACAACAATAAGATTGTTTTTAACATGGCGGCGGCGCATCAGATGATATGCTTCTGGCAACTTGAATTAATTTATACAAATTATTTAATTAATTTTATTGTCTTTAAACTTTATTTATTTATAGAGCTAGCCTATTAAAAATTTAGTTAAAATAACTTAATTATTTTTAGAATATTAAAATAATTTTATAACCTTCTATTAAAATTTATTTTATTGGTTATGGAAGTATTCATAAAAATATTGTTATTTAATTATAATATTATGTATATTTAGAAATTATTAACATAACCTATCAATATATATTTTTTTATTTAAAATTTATAAATCATAAAATTTTCTTCTTTATTTTATAATTATAATTTTTATTACAGAAAATATTTTTTATTGAACCTAATAAATATTTTTTATTGAGCAATTTTTAATATATTTATTAATTTTTAATATAATTAGAGCAGACAATTATTAAAAATTCAACAAATCTACTTAATTTTACATTCTCTGTAATCACAATAACTCACAAAAAAATTAATATATTAAAATCGGGTTTTTATAATTAGCTTTAGAATTACTTTAACTACTCCCGTATTAAATATGGCTGCTTAATTCAATATTGTTTAATTATAATTATTAAAAAACTAAAATTAATCTGTAAATAGAAACTAGCCTTAAGTTACATAATTCATTAGCACTTGCGCGCTATTTCAAAAAACCCGCGAAAAATTTGAATTTAAAATTAACGCGCAATTTTTTAAAGAGTCTAAATTAATAACATAACTTATTATTAATTTTTTTTTTTTAATTATTAAGGATTAAGGACGTGGATTTTTTAATTTTAAAAATATTATTTAACTTACCGGTGTTCCTTTATCTAAGCATATTTTAGCTGCAACAACTGTTGGAGAATCTTTTTTTGGTTTTGCGCGACAAATTTTGGCGCCAATAGTGCCAACTTTTAAACAAGATTTAGAACAACAAGTCGCATTTTCATTACACTGCCAAAAATAATTAAATAAATCATATTAATAATTAAAAAAATAATTTTAAATAAAATTCTTATTTTTGCGTCATTTGGTGTGCATTTTCTTTCTTGATTTTTAACCAAACTTCCATTTACAAAAAAGAGGTTAGCTACCAACAATAAAACTACTATTTTAAACATGGCGGCTTCTTCTATAACTTCAAGCTTATTAATAAGTAAAAATTAAATTAACCTTCAATATATACGTCCGGTAGGTTAAAATAAATTTATTTATTGCTAGAATAAAATAAAATAAATAACTTTCTGCCATTGAAATTAAATTGATCTATTATTTTTTTTGGTAATATAAATTTTTAATTATTAAAATAATAAATAAGCGGAATTTATATATTAAATATTATTATTTATAAACGCCGTATAATTATAACCAATATAACAATAGTAATATTAATAATAATAATATTAAAAATACAAAGAGTAAGTAAATTAATGCATTATTTTAATACAGTAAGACTAATTATTTTTTTTTTTTTTTTTTTTTTTGGAGATTTATAATAATTGTAGAAATTTTTCAGTTGTGCAATCTGGATATAACAATAGTTGGGATATTTTTTTTTTTTTTAGATTAATTGCTTTCTTTAGGTTCTGTTGATTCTGAACTTGGAAGTGATGATACTGTAAAATAAAAAATAAATTTTTTGTAAATAATAAATAATTAAAAAAAAATACTTATTAAAATTTTAACTAAAAATTTTTTTTTTAAGATTCTACCGAGAAAGAACAAGATTATACTGGATATAATCCCAGATTATACAAAGTGAAAAAAAATTTCAGATGGTAGCTAGTATAATCCAGATTATACTGAATAATATCTGGATTATACTCATTGTTATCTGGATTATACTAGCTACCATCTGAAATTTTTTTCACCTCAGATGTCACTGAGTATAATCTGAGATGGTATCCAGTGTCATCTTGTTCTTTCCGTGTAAGTATGGAATTTTTTTTATAAGAATTTTATTGCTAAAAAATTAAAAAAACTTACCAATAATAATGATAAGTATAACCGTGCAAATAATCCCAATAATAATCATCATTTTCAAATTTTTCCACCAGTATTTGCGCTTGAGCTTTCCTGCTTGCTGCTCAAATTGAGCAGCACCTTGTTGAAGCGCATCCGCGCGGTTGTCTAACTCCGACAGCTTCTGATCCCTCTCGAGGACTTTTTCCACATTTACCTTCATGATGTCGACAACCTCGTTGACTTTCGCCTGTGTCTGCTGTAACTTTTTACTGGATATCGACTGCGAGGTTCTGTTACCCAGGTCACCGTCTCCGGAGTATCCGCCGCCGTCCATTTTTTATTTGTAACTATACAAAATAATTATTAATAATTAATAATTAAATTTAATTTTTTTCCCGCTATAAATAAATTTTTAAATTATTAAATTTTTAATTAATTAATTTTCAAATTTTTAAATGTCAATTTTATTTTTTTCAATAATTTAAATTAATTAAAAAAAAAAAAAAAAAAAAAAAACAAAAAAAAACAATATTGACACAGTAATTGATAGTTGAATCATGAACACGCCCATAACCTCAATTTTGAATTTTTCTACTTTAAAATTAATAATTTAAAAATTTCTTTTTAAATAATTAGTTAATTAATTTTTTTATAGATTAATTATTTATAATTATAATAAAAATAATATTTAATTATAATGGAGGTATGACACTGATGGTAAAAAAAAATTACTTACTTAATTTTTTAATAATATAATTAATTATATATTTTGTTTTTAGAAAATTTTAACAGGCTTGATAAAATAAATCTGGAATATTATAATTAATTTCCGGAAGTTTTAACAAAAATAAATAATTAAAATAAAATAAAAAAAATAACACGACACGTCAAAGTTTAAGGACACAATATTACAATATACTCCATTTATAACGGATGATATACTTTTAAAGATGGCGTCATTGAATGACGTCACTTTTCATTTTTTGACAACATGAGACATCGCTCATTATTTAGAGGTCAGTTTTAATAATGATAATTGTATTTATTATTGTTGTTATTATTTTTTAGGTAAATATAAACAAAATGTTTATTTTTGAAGGTGATAGTTACTTTTTTTATTTTTTTTAGAGGCTGAAAAATGAAGATGGAATCAACAGGTGAGTTTTTATTTTAAAATTATGACATTAAAGTCAGCTGTCACGTTATTTATTAATTTTATTTTGCATATTAATTAATTCCAAAAAAATTAATTTTGAATAATTGTTTTTTTTTTTTATTTTTATGTCAATTTTGTTTTCTAAATTTTTTTTAAGAATTTATTTATTGTAAAATTATTAAATATACACTACATTAATTTTCATTTAATTTAAAAATTTAAAAAAATTATAAGTACTATTTTTTTTTTTTAAATAAATCCAAATTGTATTTTTTTTTTGTGTAAAAATTGACAGTAGCGCCATTTTTTGGAGACTTTGTTAGTCAAAGAAGTCGCTACCCGTGATAGCCATCCAATTGTAAAAGTTAATGTTAAGTTGCAGTCCAACTTTTATACAATCTAGGGCCGAAATTTGACTTTAACTTTTATCAAAATGTTTTAGTAAAAGTCTTAATGTGAAGTTTTAGTGAAGTTGGACAAAATGAATGAAAACACTCATTGATATGGCAGTTTATCAGAATTTGTCTCTTTTTTACATCGGTAGGTAATTTATCGGTAAAAAAAAACGAAGCACAGTAAAAATTTTTAACTACTGCCGTGACAAAAAAATTAATATTTTATTGTTAAACCGGGGACTCGAACCCAAATCGCCTGGTTCCTAGCCAAGCTCACTATCAGACGAGCTATCTTCGACTCATACCATCAACGCGTTTTCAGTCACTTATATCTGACACAATATTTTTATAATGTAAAAAATGTAAAATTGTATTTGCAATTATGAATATAAAGTGAGTGAATTGAATTAATTTAATAGTTTTTTGTTTTTAGCTATGACATTGGAGTTAGCAATCACTTGACTATTTTGTAATTTTTTTTTAACAAATAAATTAATTCCAAAAAATTATTTATAAAAAATTACATTTTTTATTATTATAAATTTCTACATGTCAATTTTTTTTTCTAATTATTTTTTACCATAATTTACCTGTTAAAAAAAATTCCTAAAATTATCAAATGTCAGCTAAATTAATTTTCATTATTTGCTTCAAAAATGTATAAAATAAGTGTTTCAATAATTTATTAATAAAAATAAATATCTAAAATTATGTGATGTTTAATTTTCTTGAATATAAAAATACTCTGAAATCTTTGATAAATTTATTTACAAAGCATTAAAATTTTTTTTTATCATCCTATTATTTTTCATTAATTTTTTATAAGAATTCTTACGAAAAATAAGAAATCACTTAAGTGATTGACAATTAACCTGCAAAAAACTTTTTTAAATCATGGTTTGCTAATCAACTTAAAGGTCCGAATAAATATAACTTAAAGTAACATTAATTTTTCTATGAAATTTACAGTAATTTTTTTTTTTAAATATCATTCTAACTTAACAATAACTTTTTTATAGATAAAAAGTATGAAAATTAAATTAGCCGACATCTGAAAATTTTTATAATTATTTTTATTAAAAAAATTGTTACTATAAAATAAAAAAAAAAAATTTCACATGTAGGAAATTTGAAAAATTATAAATGAAATTTTTTAAAATTATTTTTTTACTTGCAATTTGATTGTTAAAAAAAAATAGAAAAATTTTTAAACCTCGGCTAACATTAGTATCATATTAAAAGTTGGTTAAAACTTGGATTGAAATTGCGGCAGTAGATTAACGTCAAGTAGTTACTATACAACTTCAACACAAATTGTATATAACTTTTACTGTACAAGTTTTGGAGTGAACTTAACGTTAACTTTGACTAAACTTGCTATACTACAAGTATTTTTATAGTAAGTGTGGCTATCAGGGAGGTACTCCTTTTTCACCGTAGAGGAGAGATAAGAAGGGATTTTGCGCAATTCCTAGCCCAAATGGATTTTTCGATAACCATCACGTATGCTACCCCCTCCCCTCCCTCTCATTCTTCTCCCCTCTCGTTCCTTCTTCCCCCTTCTTCCCTATCTCTCTCTCTTTTTTTTTTTGGGGAAAAAATATCATTTTGATTCTCTAATCTAAGAACCAATCAGTGGCACCTATCAATTATAGAACTCAACCCCACCCTACCCTCCCCCACAACCGTTGCCATGGTTACCGTTGCTGTGGTTACCGTTGCCATGGTTACCGTGACCATGGTTACCGTGACCATGGTTACCGT